TTTCCCTACTACAGTGGTGGTAAGGTTGAAAATAGAGACAATCCAAAAAATACATTCTATGCATAAAAAAGTATAACAAACTTATGGATTTTCCATTTATAGAGGGGCAGTTGCCTTAAATTTAGGGCCATCTTGGATTTGGGTAAATATGGTACAAGACTAAAATTTGGCACCGCTCAAGTCAGCACGTAACAGGTAACCAAAGGAAGTGATTGCTTCAACCTTCACCTTTTTAATCAGATTCAATTTGCTCCATGAGCTGGCGTCACAAAAAAACTTGATCAGTTAGACCTGGACACTTCTCAGGTAACCCAACTTTCCACTGATGCCCTAGAAATGTACAATTGCCTCATTCTTAAACTGAAGGCATTTGTAAAAACTGATTCTTTCAGGAGAGCGCAATGAAATTTACAGGCTTTCCACTGGAAAACCTTACTGTCCTATGTTAGATGCAGTCAGAAAGAGGGATTATGATTGACAGTGGCCCACAAATTGTATAATTATTAGTACCAGAAATTCTGACAGATTGACAGCCCCCCATTATACAAACACACATCCAGAATACTGGTATTCATAATCACATCACATTGTGTCCCCTGAACTCTTAGGCAGATTAACTCTCAGAACACTAGGAAAAATCTCTCTGAGGAATTGGGCAAAGAGGGTTTTTTTCAGTTTTTAGACCACCAAAGGAAACCTAAAAGAAGAAGGAGGAGGAAGAGGAGGAAATGTGTTCTAGAACTGGTAGTACATTCACTGGTGAGCTTCTTCATCCCCTCCCCCCACCCCAGAGATATAAAAAAAACCCCAGCTTATACTTACCACTGAAAGATTTGTGAAGTCTGCAGCAGCATATACCATACCTCAGTCTTTGAGTCCAAGGGAATAAAAATCCCACATGTCCAATAAGTTTTTCTACAGGCTCGTTATGTGAGATTTTGTAATATTCAAATGAATGCATTCAGTTATAGACTTAACAGAGCTAAAGTGGTCTTTATGCAACTAAGAATCACGCTATGCTTGTAAACTAAAATCCAAAGACTTTGCGATAAAAAATTATATTGAATGGTAAAACAAATACAGAGTACAATCTGAACACTGTGTAAGTAATTTAAACTCATTTACCTGTAAAGTACATATTGGCAGGAAGAGCCGAACTAGGGAATTTGAAATATCCATTTCCTGGGAAATGGATTCCTTTCATTACTTCTACACTCGATGAAGTTAAAGATGAATCCATCCTTTCCAGCTGGTAGATGGGAGAAGGCCCATTAAGTTCTTTAGGTTCATTCCAAATTATCTTTACCGTTGTATTGTTTACTCCTTCAGGATGAGGGGCATTAAGTTTTCTTGGAGCTGTGTATAGAAAAAAAAAATTGTTACATAAGCATCACTGTCCAGACTGCATTATTTTATTTATTTTATTACACAGTTTGTTATTTTACTTACATGAAGCTGAAATAACATTGCATCTCTGAAAGTATCAGCAAAACATAGACTTATTCTATTCTGCACAATAGATTGTGTATAAGGGATCCTGTTTCAGTTTCTGATCTACTAAACAGTAAATGCAAATCTCCACAGAACCCCTCTGCTCTGCTATGGAACTAATGGAAAGCCTCACAGGCCATGTCCACCTGAGTGTGGATGTTTGGTTCCCCAGAGACCAAACATTGTGCATGTTTGGTTACCTGGGGACAACTAGCAGCGGCATACCCTGTTACCTCTAATTGTTCCCACAAATGCCTCTGCCACATGTCCTCTGATGTGCAGCAGGTTAACCCAGGTGGGGTAGAGGAGGCTGGGGCTGGCCCTAGCAGCTTTACCTGGGCTCCTGGGACTGCAGCAGTGGAGATCCTGCCACTTGAAGCCTGGCTGGCAGCTGGAGCATGGCTCCGGGTGGCCAGGCTCTGGTTTTGAATGGCACATACTGCTGCCACAATCGCTGCTCCGCTTTTTTTTTTTTGCATGGGTTTTTTTTGACCCCTGGATATCGAGGGGTCAACCCCCCTCCCCACCCACCCACTGCACTGCTCCCTTGTTGAATGTGCAGTATGTAGTACATTCAGAACAGCTGAATGTGCGGTATGTGTCTGCGGGTCCACATACCTCACAGCCTTTCTCGTTTGGACATGGCCATAATATTTAGAGATGCCTACTCTCAACCCAGTAGCAGTGCCTCATTTGATTCCTCAGACATGGTTCCCTATTGTGCTTTGAACACAGAAGATGGGTTATATAAACCCTGCGGAGGCTTAAAAATCTGAAGTAACTCCTTCATACAAACAGAGTTGATTTTATCTCCATGATTAAACTCTTAGGTTTAAATCCTGCTTTGATTTCTCTAGGGTTCCTTGAAGGCACATGCCCCATAGAAAAGGCTCAATAAAGAGCTAGAACCCAAGTTCAGAGGAGGAATTTGACTCCTTAACAAGGTCCAGGTATATTTTAACATCTTGGTACATAATATTACAAAACTTTTGCCACTAGATGAACTAATCCAGGACAGAAAGAACACAGCAGAGTATTGAGGGTCAGTACATGAGTGATTGCACTCTAGTATTAACCTCTCTGTTCCTCATAGTATATCGTTCAATAAGCAGTCTTCCTGTACACTGATAATCGCCAACACAAAGGAATGTTGCTTTGACTTCCTTGCCTGAAAACTGGTTTGCTGCAAGACTCTATGAAGCTGAAACAAGATTGCATCTGAAAGTATCAGCATGAGATAGAGTTTTACGCTATTACAATGGTTTCCCTATTACTAGGACAAACGGATGGGTCAATCTATAGTCGAATTATGAAATACATTCTTTAAGTTTTTTAAAAACACTGTACAGTAAGCCACTGGAGGGCAGCATGACCTGTTTGGATAATGAAGTGACGGTCATGCAGGTGTGAAAGGACTGATCAGCAGCAAAACAGTGGAACTAGCTATTGTGCATGGGTGATGTACAATCGGTTCTTTACTATTTATGGAATCCATATTCATTTTATATTGTTAACAAGCCCCTTTCTCTCACTTTCACTGTGACATTAATACATATTTAACAACTAAAAGTTCACTTTATGCACAAGTAAAGAGACAGTGGAGAACATGTTAAAGTTTGCCTGTTTCCATTATGACTTAGTATATGCCACCAAACTCTTTTCAGGAATATTATTATAGGGACTAAAATGCAGGTCTTCACAATCTAATCTATTGCTTTACAAAATGCTAGTGTATGAGTTCATTGTACAGAGTTTTATTTAAAATGAATTAGTAATATCTATTCTTGCCTTTACGGGATCAGTAATATGTTTTTCCTTCCTTTCATTAACCTGTAGGATATTATTATTTCTTTTCTTCCTACTTGATAAATATTCCTCTTGAAGATAATCCCTCCCCACAAACACCAAACACATTATGGGTTGTAAATTCCTGTTTAACCATCATTTATGACTTCACAGTCTAATTAGTATCACATGATACGTTAGAAATTTACCATGTCAAGCAGTGCAACGTGAGGTCATAAGCTTTCCCTGAATAAGTAGGGCAGAGCATTAGTGAATCGTAGTATTAATGCACAGGTTTAAATAGAACACATGGCTTAACAATCAAAACTTCACCTTTGAAGAGAATTGGTGAACGTCAGCATTTTAAACATGAACACCGAGGTTGAGCCCTTTGGTTTGGCTTACTGATGCTAAAACACAAATGCTAAAATTCATTATCCCTAAATTGTACACAGTTAGCCAACACATAGTCACAGTTATGACAACAACTGTATCTCCCTTAAAAGTCCACCATTAATAAGTGGCAGTTGCTTGGACTGTAATTATGGCATCCCTGCTACCCAAACTTGAAGCTTTTATGGGGCTTATGCAATTAACTACTTAAATGCATCGTAACACTTGCTTCTCTGACAGGGAAGTATTGATTTTTTAATCATTTTCAAGTCTCCTCTAGCACAAATAAATGTACTACAGTTACAGTTAATGCACTGTGTACACGCATTAAACACTGGCATGACACAATTTATTATTTTGTGATATATGGAATAGAAGCCTAGCCTTTCAGAAAGTAACATCTTTGCTATAACATTCGTATTTAAAATACAATGTCCTTGGGACTTGAGAATTCTCTTGCTTGCCCACAATAACAGTATTCTTAATACATTACTACCAAAGTCCAGAACAAAAAAAGTGAAAATAAATCTAACATTGGACCTTTATGCTACTAAACACTGAAATTAAAAATATTCAAGCCTAAAAGATACAGTATAAATTTTCCTAAAGGTGTCACTGTGGTACCTGTAGCTACTTTGTGAAGATGAATTGACTATAATTTTACCTATTTAATTTTTTTCAGTCACATTCTGTTAAGACACATCTGTCAAAATAATGAGCTTACTGTATTTTAGTAGATTCAAAGTCACATTTTGTGTATTTTAATTATGTAGTTTTAATGTCTTGCTATATAATACATGCTTAATATATTATAAATCTAAAACAGTATTGAAAAACCCATGATTGCTGCATGCCACTGTGTAACAGAGGGCACAAAAAAGACCAATAAAGACAGATGGCCCATACGTTTATGTTAAAGTCATATATATAAATATAGATGTTGCTACATAGGTCATTACAAATAAGCCTTTCCCATGTGTGTGAGCACACACACACATATGAAGTTGGTAAGTGAAGAGCAGTTAATTCTGTTTTGTTTGAAATAATATCATTTTAGTTTTAGAATCTAAGACAGATGCCAGCATTTCACTCTGAACAGATGGTAATTCCATCTAATAGTGCATCTCTGTATTAGTAAGGTCTGTTGTGTATACAAACAGTAATAAACACTAGGTAAGGATCAAAATAAATTTTAATTGTTGACATTAAATTCTGGCAGCCACGGTTCTAAGGATACAATATTCTTTTCACAAGTCTGTCAGGTTTACTAATATAAACACTATAGCTTTTCCATAGACTGCCAGATTCCTGTCCCAATAATAATGTGTTCACACCAAGGCTACTAAATCTTTACCAGTCTACATGCTTACATAAGTTTGAATGAATAATTTTCAGTGTCTTTCATGTAGATGATTGTGTACCCATAAATATTACCCTGCAATTAGGAATTTAAGGTTTTCAGGAAGTGCTTGTGCTACTTCAAAAGGTAGCAGTAATAGTAAAGGACATAAATACATACACTTTTGATTGCTTTCCATTAGAGTTCATAATGTAACCTATACAAATGAGAGTGGTCATGAACCTAACAACTGTTTTTTGGGGAGAAAATTTCAGGAGGCCATCATATTTACTTTAGTTTTATTTAGCTTGAAAGTAAAGGTGTGGATAGAGCCAGACATCCTTCAGTATCCTTACTGCTATTGATCTGCAAGACCTTACAACTGCTATAGCATGCCTGGTACAAACTCCGCTTTCCAACACACTCCACAGTAAGCTGTCCTTAGCTGCTTTTGGGTAGGGTGACCTATAAATCTAATAATAAATAAATAAATAGAATCAATGTGTCAGCAGTAAATGAGTTAAGAAATAGTGCTTGTGTCCTCCTTCAGAGAATCATTTCAGACCTTTTAGGAGAACGTTTACAACATTTGGGAGGGAAATTTTTATGTTAAAGCAAAATTCAAAGATACCTATAATGGCTGTCAAGAAACTATCTAATAACAACATGCATGTGTTATAATCATATATCTTTAAAAATAGATGTAATATACAGTATTTTTTTTTTTTAATCATGAAAAATATATTGCTTCCACCATATGGGACAACCAACGACTCACCAACCGATTTAAGATGCAGCATATTGAGCTGACCATATGTTACAGTGCTGTTGAATGGCTGAGTGATTCATGCCCGTCACATTCTAGTATATCAATTAAAGCTCCTTGAAGTCTGCATGATTTGTGTCTCTGTTATTAAACCCTGCTAATTCATCCCACTTACACATCTGTTATAAATCTCTAGGAGTGCTGCATGATTCATGGCAATCTGTGAGCATGGTACAGCAAATTCTTCTCCTTGTAATTAACAGTAAATTGTTTTACTGCCATGCAATGAATTTTTCAGTTATATTGCAAATGAACTCCTAAATGCATGGTTCTTTCCTAAGAACTGACTTATATCATTAGGCAATTAAAAAGTATTGCTTTGAACCAAAAGCTTTTAATCAAGAGAAATACAACTTAAACACAGCTTTAAAACCATGCAAATTTGACATACCGGCAAAAGAATAATTTGAGCTAATTTCTGCAGTGTAATATGTGTTCTGCTGGGAGAACAAACAAATAACTTTTGGCTTCCTACTATTTTACTGAGGCTCAAAGAGCAGTTTAACTACAGCTTGAACACTT